GAGAGAGAGGAAGTATTTATTCAAAATCTTTTTTGTCATTGATAATGGCTCATAACAAGCACGTACATTACAGACGTAATTGCTCGAACTTAGGGCCTTTAAATAGAACAACAATACAATATTATCTTTAACCAATGAAATTACTAGATGAGTTCTAAAGATTTATAATTTTATATATTATATTGTCAGTGTCAACACGAATTTGATTTGACTCAATTAATGAAGATATTAATTAAGACATAATTAAGGAAAGTGCTAAATCAAGTTTGCTTAAAAATGTGAAGCTTTTCTTTGTTTTATATATAAAATCTACTTTTAGATATTTATTTTACAAGTTTCATTGTAATAAGTATTTATCCCTATAAACAGATGATAGATATTATGGTTAGATCTCAGGTTATCCATGAGAACTCCTCTTGAATTATTCTTCTCACGACATTAATGAATTTTCTCATCTTTGTCTGCGATTTTTCTCAAATGAATTTTCTCCATAAAATCTTGATGTCTATTTTATTGGGGATCTTTATACATGTTATATGTTAACGCACATGTTATTATATGCATTATATATATCAATATAAAATATTATTACCTATAATACAATATATATAGTCATATAAAATAATAGTGAATGAAAAATAGGGTTGTTAGGGTTTGGTGTACTCCCACCGAATGTCAAGGACTTAAACATTATTTAGATTTTACTTCGAGTTTATTACTACATTGTTACAAGATCTATCATTGTCTTCAAATGTGTCGGTTGACCTACTATGGATACAATACAACTCATCTACCTTATAAAAAATGAGTCAGAATCTACTTGCCTGGTGATTAATCCAACTTGTCATTTTAAAAACCCTTAATTGGACAAATAATTAATTAAAAGATTCTATTAATTCAACGACTAAATAACAAACTTATATAGGAAAATGACATTGAAACCTATAAATAAAGCCCTTATCTAAATATCTATAGATAAACTATTAGTAGGCTATTAGGGTCACGTTATGTTTGTTGAAAGTTAAAACAATTGGTAAACTACATTTTAGTACATCAACTATCAGTTTTGTTATGTTTTGGTCATTCAAATATTTTTTGTTTCAAAATCGTACTTAACATTACGTTTTGGTTTCATTTTGATCATCCATCGTTAAAAAATTAACAATGGTGTTGATGTGACATCATAAGGTCCATATCGTCATTGAATTTTTTAAAAATATCACATCAACGGTTTTGTTAAATTTTTAGCGATTGGTAACCAAAATAAAATCAAAATGTAATGTTGTGTATTTAAAAATAATAATAGTTGAATGACTAAATATAACAAAATTATAATTTGGGTACTAAATGTGCAGTTTACCGTAAAATAATTTAGTCAGCATCTCTAGGTGTTGAAAATATATGGTTTCTTTCAACATATAATTTATCCCATATACGTTTTTCACTAAAAAGGGTTGAAAGATATGAATTAGATAATGCTAAATCAATTGCATCAAAAACTATAATGCTATATCAATATGTCATATGAATTTTTAAAATAAATCAATTTGAATTTATTTTAAATATTGTATTACTATTTGATTTATTAATCATATATTTTAAAAATTAAATTTGATTAGTCTAATGGCATGTCATAATCCATCAACTCGTGGACGGATCTAAATGAAAGCTTCTATTTAAAAAGACAAAGCATGGAATTTGAGAATGTTTCTTTTGCGTCCAAGTTGATATAAATTAAAGAAAATATTCAATGTATGAATCTAATTTCCTTTTATAAAATCCCATGTCGAAATCCACTTTTAGTTTGTTATTTGTGTTTATGGATTAGAAAGCTGTATGATGCGAATCAAGTTCCCCGGATTTGAGCATTTTTCATGCAATTTTTAAAGGTTGATAATCTGCTTTTTGCCTTTTTGAGGTTGAATGTTAGGTTACATCTCACCCATAGGGAATTTTTTTAGGGGCATAAACTAATAAAGCGTTCGACAACAAATTATTCGAGAAACATTTGTATATTGTTCTTTTATGTTTGTTTATTAAGTTGAATAAATGTGTATGAACAAAGTTTTTATGTTCATTTAATAAACGAACAAATGATAAGAGATGTGTGTTTGGTTCGTATATTTACGAGCAAGCTCATTTATTTTTTTCATTTATCTACTTGATTATAATCTTGTTTATTGACTCGTTTATAAGATCATTTATTTGGTTCTCCTTTTACTTTTATTTTTTTACATTTTAAATATTGTTAAGATATGAACTAAATTGAAGATAAGGTGAACTTAAGAACTAGTGGTATAATTTAACTATTTCAAATATATGGTTAGTTATCAAACATTAATCGAACAAACATAAACAATTTCAAATATAAAAAAATAAACACAGACCGAATACAAACATACCTTCGTTAGTTTAATCTCAATTTATTTACCCCTTTAGAATTTTCCTGGCTTGAACATGGGTCTACAATTAGTTCATAGGCTCGTGGTTCTAGGCCGTAACATTACAATTCAAATCTTAATAAAATAATCGTATAATCGAATCATCAAAATAGAAATACGATCACATACATTGTTTATCTTATAGTTGCTTAGAAGAGAAACATTACCCGGGATTGGGATGGAAATAATGATGGAAGGGACGACGGCCGTTGGTGTGTCATGCCATGCTACAAGCCAAACCAAAAAGAGGAAGATGAAATTATTAAAAACAAGATCGGACCATCCCATCCCATCTTAAATTCAATGGTTTCCTATTTCCGGCCAAACCCAAAGAAGAAACCCCTACACTTTTTGTATTGCCTGCAACTGCAAGTGGTTTTAGACCACGTTCGCTTTCATTGGTCTAGTAAGCTTAAAAGAAGGGATACAACTCACAGTGGGGCTCTTATCGCACATGGTCAAGTGGACCCAAATTCCTGACTGATTGAGATACATTTCCCATTTTTTACAATCCCAAAGGCCATCTTTTACTGGAAAATTCCAAGTAAATTAGCTTAACTAGGAAGCCACATTTGCTTATGTTCTGCCATCCTTTCAAACTTTGCTTGCCCAGATCTTATTTTACCAAATAAAGCACGTACCCTGCAAATTCCAAGGACTTCAATACTCTGTTTTCTTAGTACTACGTTCATGAAGGTCAAATATAGTTTATTTTTTTTTTTAATGTTTTTTAAGAATATTTGAAGACTACAAATGGTAACTCGAGTGCACATGTCGAATCATGTACTAAAAATGATAAATAGATATTGCTCTTGTAATGACTATTATTAAGTTATGACATTCAGTGTTATTTAATCCCTTGAAGTAAAAGGAGTAAGTTTCAAAAATATTAATATTCATGTACTTAAATGATATACCCCAAGAAAAACGACACCAATAAAATAAAGATAATTGCTTGTATAATTAAATGATATAAATAAAATGGCCGAAAGTGGAGGGTTGGGACATGCAAGAGCCAAGAGGACCCACTTCGAGAAAGCATGCAAATGGTGGAATTATTTGTTGTTTGGTGTAACACACTACCAAGGATTACTAAGTTTAGTAGATTTGTTGGCAGATTAGTGGGATAATATTTGCTTTTGGAATTTTGCATTTATATATGTAAATCAAATGGTGGGATGGGTATTAGATTTGGTCCAAAAAGCTTAAATTTACCCATATGCATATTCCTTTACTCCTTTTATATAAGTTTTGTTCGCAATTACTTTGGTTTAAGTTGATTTTAATTCTATTTTTTATTTATTATGACTCCTATGTATTGATTTTGTATTTATAATTAATAGTTAAATTATATATATAAGAGATGAATCCACCTCTAATAAAAAAATATTAATAAATGAAACGAATTTTTCACTTTTTTATAATTTGTAAGATTAATACTTCTATTATGTCAATCCAAAGTAATATCATTATTAATAGATATTCAGGTATGAAAGTTTTTGCATAAATAAATAATTAGATGTTTTTAATTTATTTAAAATTTAATATATGTATGAATATAATATGAAATTTAACGGTTAAGTTGTTAAAAATAATAATCATACATATATAAAATGCACTTAATTTGAAGTTAGTAAAAGTAAATCTCTCTCTATATGAGAGCAAATTGCTCAAGTAGGCGGGAGACGTTTAATATCTAAACATTAGCCAAAGAGCATATATGTTTATTAAAAATCAAAAGGAGCTAATTTAAGGGAACGACATCCATGCCAGCTTAATGGATCAATCACGTCAAAGTTTTAGTTCACTTTTTTGTTATATTAAATTTGGAATTTTAATCGATTGTTAATGTTGTCTTAATCCAAAATACCATCATCATTAAGAAAATGTTAGTAGACTGATATGGGCTTTTTAAAACCTGAAACTTCTTGTTATTTAAGAAGTTAAATTATAAAGACCAAATTTTATTATTCATCTTTGTATTGCGTATAAACGGATAGGAGCGAGCAAAATTTGATTTTAATCGAATTTTTTTAAATTCGAGCCAAGTCCCTAAACTTTGTGTGATATATATATATCAATATGAAAATATATGAAGAAATATATATGTTTATATAAAAAGAACATAATATTATAAATATTTATAATTAAATTTAAATTAAAACTCAAACAACTCGACTCGAATTTTATAAACTCAACTTAACTAAAAAAATAAATAAAGTTTAAATTATTAATTCAACTCGTTAACTCGAAATTTCTTGACTCAGCTCGATTAAACACCCATCCCTATTTATAGTAGATTTATTTGAAAAGTTAGGGGTTGAGAAAAGGCTCCATTGCTTTATGGAGTTGAGAAAAGGCTTCATTACTTTATGGAGTTGAGAAAAGGCCTCTTCTTGTAAAGATGATGTTTGCCACCATTAGTCCTATTCACATCGGATGCCTTCTTTCCTTCAGAGATTGATATCTAAAGGCAACCGTGAATATATATATATATATATATGCACATACATTTCAAGAAATCCACTTCCCCAAGTCACAAGAACATTCAACCAAGCTGTAGAAAGGAAGCTTCTTGGAGGTCTCGTTTTGGATTATATCTACATTAACTACTCTACCAAAATGAAACTCAACCTCTATAGTTCAAAATAAGATACTATCCTACTAACACGGATCAACTTATGTTACAGATATCACTATCGAACGGACATTGCCATACCAAGTATCTGTTAGCGTTTGAGATGTTGACAAACAAACTCGAAAGCCAGTCTAAACATTATCCTTCATGTCATTTCCAAACTGTTTTCAATCTCTTTGCGGCCTGAACAAATCCCACGATCACCTGCAGCTCATCCATTTGCTACACCAACAGAAGGTAATTTTCATCACATTATCAAAAAGAATTTCCAGACACTGATAAATCTCATCATTCTCATTCTGAAAGGAGGTGAAAACTAATATACACCTGGCTTAATAAATAGAAACCACTAGATATACATAAACTACGGACTTTGTTTCCCTTCCAAGGGGATTTCAACCAGTTAAACAGAGTTGGTAATGGCACTTCCACCTAAAAATGCAAGGAAGAAAAAATTGAAGGGAAGCTATCGGAGTTAAGTTACCTGTGCCATGAAATGCCTCTGAACGATATCAACTAGTTGCTCTTTTGATGGATTGGGAATGGCCTCCACCTAGAATAGCAAAAGCAATGAGACGTTTGAAATCTTTTTTCTTCGTTTCTACAAGCACACAAGGCCGTGCTGGTAAATTATATTTCAATTTAATGTTTCAATGGGAGGGGCTTACAAGATTGAAGTGTCGCCAATATCTCCACAGAGCAGCCATCTCGAGTTTGCTGAGGTCAATTTTCTATAGAATAAATATTATGAAAAATAAATCTTAATTAGGCAAAAATAGACAGCTAACCTATTTTTGCAATCCCTTATCATTGGCAACATGTGATATCAAACACTGTACAAGAAATAAATACAGCGTTTTAAAAACCATATACCGTGGACTCGCGGGGTGTCGAAACAGAACTCTTAGACTGTGAGTCACAAGAAAGAGACATGCTCAAAGTCTTGCGAGAAGACCCCGTCGATTTATGTGATCTATGCCTCGATCTGTGGGACTTTTGAGTGTCATCAGATGCTGAAAATTGGGAGATGGAACAAGTAGGAATAAGAAAGAAAAAAAGAGCATGGAGGGACCAATAAAAAGATAAAGAAATGAGACAATGGAGCTTTTAGATTAGAAATAGTGAAAGTTAAAGATGAAGACACAATGGACCCTATATGTACCAACCTCAACTACTTTTCAGTTTTCACTACAGAATATTATCATCCAAATCACTTATATCAGAAGTATTAAGTCTCGGAATAGTTGATCCCAAAATTAAGTATCATTAGAGATCAAAAGCCATTAAGCACCATGGCACTCCACTTCCAGGACAAAATTTATTAGTACTAACACAGGTAAAGAAAACAACTTTTCTACTGATTTTTTTTAAATCATGTATGGCCAAAAAGAACATAGAAACAAGTGAATTCAAACTCAAAATGATTAACCCTCTCTAGAATATGCAAGATTTGAAATAAAGAGGAAAGGAGAGCTCACTCATGTATGATCCATTGCACTGCATGTTTCCGAATTCGAGGTAGTCATCTTCTTCATTACCGGTGGGAGCTTCAATCACGCTGAGGGCATTTCTTTGTAGCTTTACTTCTATGCCATTTGTAAGAACCTGTGATTTTATTAGTTGGACAAATGAATATCACAATAAACAACAAAGTAAGTGGATTTGGATATTTGGCAAGAAATAAAAAATAGAGAAGATAAATGAAAAGCACTATATAATTTTTAAGGAATCAAAGCTATGAATAAATCCCATATTCAATCATGAGACTTGCAGATAGATGTTACGAAAACTGCAAAGAAATGGAACAGAAAAGGGGGGGGGGGATTTTTCTTAAAAACCAAGGAAAGATAATCGACTTAAGAAATGATTGCAAGTTTCGAATAGCACAAGATAAGCAAAAACCTTGAGAGATTAATACCAAGACAGAACTGAATCAGAATTCAGAATATAAAATATGGGTTCCATAAACATTCCCAAACCAAGATCCCAAGAATACTCAATCATGCAATCGAAAAAAGTAACACCAATATGAAGATCAACACCTAATAAATTTAATTTAAAAAATTAAATATCATGACTTTAGAGTAGATTACAAACACCAAGTACAAGAAAAAGAAGAAGAAATAAACCCCCCAAAATCATGATTCATTGTAGAAATGTAAGTTAAAATACTTCAAAACTACAGATCCAATGACAGACACTTGCATGCAATCAAAACCCAAACCCAAAACCTCAAATTTGCAACTTGTGAGCAATAATAAAAATAAAACCATTACTTTTATTGGGAAGTATCGAAATTCAAGCAAATTTAGACAATGGAAAGCTAAATTTGCAGTTTTATTCAAAATAAATCTTATACAACAGGACATGCAATTGGATCAGAGAGAAAGATTCAATGCAAAATTCACAAAAAGGAAAGAATTATAAATAAATGAAGTAAAACCAAAACGTTTATTTGATAATAGCTCAAATTGAATCCACGCTACTTTGGGGGGGAAAGACAAATTTGATTTTACTTGAAGAAAAACATCCACATTGTAAACCCAGGAAATAAAGAGTAAAAACAATTGCCGGAGAAACCCACCCAAACCCCATTTCCATCGAAACTGAAAAATTCAAAAGAATTACCAGCCAATGCCACCCGCCAAGTCCAACAGCCTTCTTGACCACGCCTTGTAGACCAACGAGAACCGATTTAGTACGGTTATTCCCAGTGACAACCACCTTAGTGTGACGTGGCAGCACTGAGAGTTCTTCTTCACTACTGTCTCCGCAGCTCAGGAATTGTGTTAAACCACCGCCATTGACGGAACTCTCCATGGCCTCCAACATTATTTTCCACCAAACCAACTCAGTGAGTAAAATCAGGCTGGGGTAAAACTCGATGGGAATTCGGAAGCGTTAAGGGTCAAAATTGCGTTGGATCGGAAGGTGATGCATTGGTGAACACATATAGGGTATTTTCGTGAGCAAGAGAGGGAAAAACTAAGGAGAAAAAGCGGAATTTTGTGGACAGGGAAAACACAGATTTTGAAAGGCACAAAATTTAAAAGGAAATGAGAACTCTTTTTTTCCTTAGAAAGAGAGACTGGTACTTGTTTATCGGTTGGTACTTGTTTATCGGTTGGTGCTAGTAATGAATCCCGACGACTCGAAATTGACCAACTGGAGAACGCCACGTAATCGTGTCAGTGCCTTCTCGTCAATCACGCGCTACAGAGAGAAAGAAATGCATGTTTTACGGCATGATTCCAATACCACTTAGCGGTTTTCTTAGGGTGTTGACCGTTTGACTAGCGGTAAAAAAGTTTGAGAAAATATCGAAATACCAGAAATACTCTTCTTTCAGCCTTTCAAATTTGGGTAAAGTATAGTAATGGTCATCTAACTTTTCTGATTCTTTCATTTAAGTCACTCAACTTTTTAAACTTGTAATTCAGTCCCCTAACATTTAATCTTTTTACAATATGGTTCCCGACGATACACTGCCATTACAGTCCCCCAACATCACTGTTTGCAGCTATGAAAATTAGGGTAAATTATATAAATGGTCACTTAACTTTTTAAGCACCTATATTTAGGTCCTTCAACTTTTAAAACTTATAAAATAATCCTCAATTTCATTCTAAACCCTAAATTCTAAAATAATTCAATTTCATTCTAAACTCTAAATTCTAAAATATTTCAATTTAAGGTTTAGAATGTAATTGAATTATTTTGGAATTTAAGGTTTAAAATGAAATTGAGGATTGTTTTGTAAGTTTTAAAAGTTGGGAGACCTAAATGAAAGCTTCAGAAAAGTTCAATGATCATTTATATAATTTACCCTAATTTTCATAGCTGCAAACGGTGATGTTGGGGGACTGTAACGATAGTGTAACGTCGGAGACCATATTACAAACAGACTAAATGTTGGGAGACTATATTGCAAGTTTTAAAAGTTAGAGAATCTAAATGAAAGCTCATAAAAGTTCAGTGACCATTACTATACTTTATCCTTCAAATTTTAGCTTTTTTAACGTATTTTAAATTGGAGTTTTGATCTAAAACTTATGATTTAAATTATTTGTTTTTATTTAATATAATAATATCATTAATTAATATAAATAATTAATACCATTAATCATTTTAAATTTTAAAAAAATACAAATGTTCGTATTAAATACACCATCACGATAATGTTTAACATAAATGTGGAAATAAATTATATCAAATTAAAATATATAAAAAAATTAATAAAATGAATGGACCAAACACATAATTCAATTAATGTTTCATTCATGTTTGGTGTAAAAAATTCTATTCTATATGTTTCTTGGTGTTGAAACAAAATCATAATCAATGCATTAAAGTAGTATAAATTTGGTGCGAATAATTTTGCAGTAGGCGAGATGATATTATTTTTTATCTAATCGAAAGATATTACATTTTTAAGTTTAGAATTCACTCAAAGTGATATAATACGAGCATTCCCATAATTAAGAAGCTAGCAATAGCATAAAACCATCGTTAAAGTAAATTATGGCACATAGTCCTCTCTTGATTTTTATAATCACGATTTTATTTAAGTAGGTTAGTTTGATAATTCGACTATTCCGAGACGAATCAACAAAATAAATTATTTCTTCGTTTAAATAAATATAACGTGAAACCGATTAAATGACTTTAGTAATAAAATAAAAAATTATTTTATAAAAAAAACAAACTCAAATAATTACATTTGAAGTTTATACGTACATTATCGATATATTAAAAAATTAAAGAAATATTTCCTTATAATCTTCTGAATTATTGAAAAAATAAAAATAAACGTAATGCTCTCACGAATCCAACTGCCAGTGCCAAGTGCGAACAGCACCATAGAAACGAAACGGAAAACGGAAATTCAGAAGGGGCGGTCCCACTTGGCGAGGCGAGGCGAGGCGCTACGGTCAGGGTTGTATTGTTCAACAATAATAATGATATTCAATACATTTTATTATATAATTTTTATTTTATTCAAAATTTAAGTTTCCATATTCTTCCAAATCTCAGTTTCATTCGTAATACTTAATTTAAATTAATTAATAAATTAATTATTAATGATTACAGGTAAAATAATTTTTTTGTTTAATCATCTTATATGATTTAATGAATATAAAAGAAATCTCAACTTAATGTACCTAATATACAAAACATTTTTAAAATTTTATTTAAATATTATCTAGATGTAAATCTTCGATTATATATTTATAATAATTAATTATGCCATGATTTCGTCAAAAGTAATAAGTTCGATATGTTGACTATTTTATAGATTTGATTCTGCTCCCGCCAAAATCAAGAGAATGTTAAATACTTAATCAGAGCCGTTGGCTGTGTGGATCCGACAGTGATGATTGTAGGCGTGGAATTGGATGAAATAAGTGAAGATTTCTAATAATTGGCGGGAGCAGAATCCTTTTTGACTTCGGCACCTATGACTACGGGATTGTAAAAGCAGACACGACACCGGGGCTCCACACTATCCAACTACTAACTACTACATCACTACCGTGGCTTCCTCGTCCTAATAGGACGTTGGAAAAAAAATTCTCCATATATAGTTCTAATTAAATTATTTTTGAATTAGGGTGTTTGTTATAGTAATCTCATTGGTCGTCAAATATTTCATAAATCGTTAAGTGTTCCTTGCGACAAAGCTTCCTCGCAACTCTTCTCTATTCCTTCACTGTTACAGTTCTATAGGTCGCCAAGTGCTCCATAAGTCGTCGTATGCTCTTGGAGACCTATAAAGGTCGTTGTGTGCTGCTGGAGACCTTTGGAGGTCGCCGTGTACTCTTGGAACCTATGGTGGTCACTGTAGCAATCACCTACTTAAGCAAATAATTATTCAACTTCACTATATAAAGAATTTTTTTCCCATTGCATTATTCAACCACTTTTGTCCCACTACTGCCATCTTCCTTGTCATTCCATTAACTTATATTTATTTTTCTTTTCATGCTTAAATCATAAGTATTTCCACATTAATTCTCCTTTAGATTAGAGGGATCAAATTGGTTATGATTCTTGTCAATTTAAATAGGTTGTTGTTTACCGTAAGAGGGTGTTTGGTTCAGGTAATATGAGATTACCGGGAGAATAGAATATCATTCCCCAGTTTGGTTGGTCAGTAATCCTATTTCTCGGTAATATTTATTCCCAACATTGGTATTTTGAGGGTATATTATCGGGAATGTGATTACCCCTTCTCTTAGGTATTGTTGGATTACCGACGTTTTAGTATAAAATACCCTTATTTTTTTTCAAAAATATAATTCTTTTGTCGTTAAATAATAAAAATTATACGAATGTTAAATTACAAATTTATCCTTAAATTATTTTAGATTTACAAAAAAAATCCATAATTAGAATTTTATATGAAGTTCAGGGGTTAAAATAAAATTTTATTATTTCATTAAACATATTTATCTTTTTAATTTTGTAAAAAAATATATAAATTTTATGAATTAAAATTTTTAAAGAAAATATATAAATTAATTATAGTAATATTATAGTATAATTCAATTTGTTAAAAAAACAAATATATAATAAAGACAATTTGATAAAATATACATTCCAATAATCTTTTATTCTTTTAACCAATCACTGTAATCTTATAATCCTGCTAAACGAACCAAACACAAAATACAATATTATCAGTAATCTTATTCTTGTCAGTAATCCTATTCCCACTGGTAATCTTATATTCCGTGAATCAAACACATCTTAATTATTTAGGATAAAACTTCGGTTGATGGAAAATTGTAATGACGACGATTATGATTATTTATTTGTGAAAAAGAAATCGAAAAAGTAAGAAAGAGACTGTTTTTTATCTACCATGACGAATTACCTATCTAAACCATATAATAAATTTCATACAATAATTTGATCAAAATGGTTGTCCCTGGAGAGGTAAGATAATAGGCTAACATCAACACCAAGTTAAAAGCAACTTCCGTAAGAGACCTTCGAATTATGAAATACTCTCCATGAGACTCGATCCCACGACATCAATGTTAAGAACTTTGTGCTCTACCAATAGAACTGAATGATCATTAATAATTTGATCAAAAGATAATAGTATTTCAAGTGATATAAAACTTTAGAGAACTCGATAGACTATGAAGACACGTTTTGTGGGAAAAAATCGAAAGAGGTGTAACAACTTAGAAACGTAATTGGTTCCTTTGTCAATTTACAGTTAATAAAATTCTATTGCAAAATAGTGAATAAAAAATTCATAAACTTGAAGAAGGCTACAACATAACGTTCAATCTGCACAAAAATATGATCAAGTATAATTCACTAGCTTGTTAAGCACTAGGTGAGATAATTTATCTACCAAATCACGTGATTACTAATTTACCATTTTTACAAACTATATCTAAAATGGCATGATGCAGCAGTATTTATTTCCAAGTTCTTTCACTCTACCGAAACCATCTCTCTTCCTTCTACCTGCTGTCGCTGGGTGACAATGATTCACCAGATGATGATGATGACGACGGACCTTCAGCCCTTTGATTCCCTTTGGCACAATTTGTGACCTTGTTAAGGTTTCTACTCCCGCTAGCTGAATTGGGCATAAAACCAGTAGTTTTAAAGAATTCGTCACTGTCCGAATTGCTAACAAGAGTTCCTGCTAAGAAACCAAAGATCAATACTTTTGAATATCATGATATGACATCTAACCACTGCAAGGCATCATAGTACATAAGATTGTCTAAGGTTTCTTTAATTAAACTATGAGCATCACATATTATACTGATCAAAAAGAAGATGGAAAGCAATGAGCCTGGAGGAATTCACAAAGTTGACATACCTAAAGTGGCCGGAACTATAACCCCCTCGTCCAGTCTGTTGGATGCAGAGAGATTCAGCTTTTTACCTGTGTCGTTACATTCGAAAACTTGGTCCTGTTCAAGGTCTTGCAAGAAAGCCATTGAATCGAAACATTCATCTGATGAAA